GTCCAAAGAAATTAAATCTTGTTGCATAAAGAAGACGCTTGTTCAGAATTTGAAGGAAAGATTTCCTTATTGCCTGCAGCCTACAGAGATTTGTGACCTGGTACTAGTGTCAGTTGTGTTTTTCCATAAGAAAAAAAAAAAATCTGAGTAATAGAATAGCAGCAAAGTTATTCCATTGTGTTTCAACAACATTTACTCATCTCCTTACATCTTTCAGAATCGTGCACTGTATCACCACCTCTCAGTGCTTAGCAGTTAATGGGATTTTAGTGACAGTTACTGGTGTTGTTTGACTCTTCTTCCACTGCAGAACAGTTCTACCCTTTAAGAAATGCCRTATTCTGATATTGGCGTGACTCATTATCTTGTGAATTTTATTCAGTTCCCTCAGGAAACCTCTTTTACATCATTTTGATAACCTTTTGTTACCACTGCTCTGTTCATAATCACATACCTTGGCTTATTTTTGAATTATTTTGTTCACAACTGAGACTTTCCTTTAAGTTGGTAATAGTTTGTCTTAGGTTGGTCAGTAAGGCTGTTAGAATTTTTTTTTAAGTTGTCATCTGAGGATCATAGAGAATTCTTGTTTTAAACCTCCACCACTGAAATGAAGCACTCTTAAGCTCTGTCTGTGCACYTCTAAAACAGGATTTCTGTCTTTCAATTACACTAATACAGCACTTCTTTGTGCTGAGATCTGCTACTTCTAGGCATAGGTCGACAAGAACTGAGCACCGTGTTTTTTGAGGTCTTGGTGACTTGAATAAGTAGCATGTTTACCAACTTCTGTTGAGCTGTTGTGCATCTTCTAACAGTCAGTGACAGTGAGTCATTGTCATTCACATCGAGTGTGTCATCAGTGGCTGGCTGCAATGCCACTGATCTAAATTTTGAATACKTATGTATGTAAAGAAAAAGGCTCGAAGTAGCTGTGTTACCCTCTCTGTTCATCTGGTCTTGATCCCATCACTGCATGTCATTATTAAAGAAAGTATTAAAAATMCTGCTTCCATTTTACTAATCCTCAAGACTCTTGCATGGTGTCTTGATTATCCCAACTTCATCCTCTGCTGCTTTTTATTAGCATATTCCTATTCTTTGTGAAGGCTATAAGATCAATTTTTTTTAAAAGTTTGTCACCAACTCTTCTAATCTAATTTTCAGCATTTTCATTATTTTCCTTGTCAGCTGGTTCTTTATAGTCTTACCAGTTACATATGAGTCTGCATCTATTGATTTTTCTGTTCTGTGCTTACTGTCTTTTATCTTAAAAAAGAAAAGCACACACAAAAAACACACCCAAAAATAAACCATAAAAATCCAAACAAATCAAACCCCTTTGCTTTCTAMATACCTTTTTATTCTGTCTTTCAGTTTTAATTTCATTTTTGGTCTCAAGGAAATTAAGCGACCTTAAGGAGGATAGGATTCCATGTGTAATGCCTCTTTATATGATTCTTCTTTCCAATTATTCCAGTTACTTGGAATTTCGGGGAGATATAGGAAGGGCATGAAAATGCCCAGTGTTTTTTGCCTTGGTGGTTGCAACGTTGTGGCATCCACAAGCGTGTACACATACCAGTTAAATTCTTGCGGTGGGTAAGTAGACAATTTTGTTTCGGATCATAAACCCAAAGATATGCTTACAGTAATTTGTTATATTAACAAATGTGTCTCAGGACAATTCCACAGGGCATAGTCTTGTTTCCTGCAGTTTCCRTGCTTCAATAGTTTGTTTTTTTTCCTTTTAGATCAACAACAAAGCAGCAACTGGTGAAGAAGTTCCACGGACTATAATTGTTACTACTCGTTCTCAGTATGGCTTACCAGAGGATGCTGTTGTGTACTGTAACTTCAATCAGCTATATAAGATTGATCCTTCCACCTTGCAGATGTGGGCTAATGTGAGTATCTGTACCGAGTAGGAAATCTAAGGTCAGATTTTTGGCATAGCTGTTCAGGTTAGCAGAAACTTCATACAAGTTAAGTTTTAACTTTTCAATGGAAAACTGACCTTGAGCCATTTGAATCTTTACAGTGCTCGTGTTGCAAGGCTTAGTGCTAGTAAAATATACAGGTTTTTAGACGTATTTAAAATTGTATTTGTGCATCTAGCCAGTGAAAATTTATGTCTTGGATATCTTAAGTATTCTGGTTTTCCCTTGTGAAGTAATTTGGATTTCCTTTATCTGTACAATTGATTATAACTGGCCTGGCAGTTGGCAGATAAATAGATCTGAGTGGAAAGCATCTGTGTCAGGTTCCAGCTTACAGTGAATTGCTGAGAGTTACTTGAGGAGAATTTTTTTTTTTAATATTTCATAGTATAAGCAAATGAGACCATAAATTTCAAGACTTACTCACTTTAGTAAGTACTGCTGTGAACTGTTGCTCAGAGTTCCTGTCTCTTTCAGTGGGATTAAAAATGCAATCCTAGTGATCCCACTCATAATGATCATCTGTTTAATTCCCGCCCTGTACCTCAAAGTGAAAGTACTGAATGATTATGCCTTCCACTTCATTTTAGTATGTGCCAATTTCTTGTTCAGAAAAGTAAATGTTTCTCTCTGAACATTCTGTATTTGCTTATTTCTGTTATAGATCCTAAAAAGAGTTCCCAACAGTGTGCTGTGGCTGCTGCGTTTCCCAGCTGTAGGAGAGCCCAATATCCAGCAGTACGCACAAAACTTGGGTCTTGCCCAAAATCGAATCATCTTTTCACCTGTTGCCCCCAAAGAAGAACACGTGAGGAGAGGGCAGTTGGCTGATGTTTGTCTGGACACTCCCCTTTGCAATGGACACACAACTGGCATGGATGTGCTCTGGGCTGGGACTCCAATGGTCACTATGCCAGGTAATGCAGTGGGGAACCAATATTGAGCGCATGGGTTGGAATATTGGTAATTTTTTAATAACAGCAAACCCAAGAGATTTTGCCTCTTGTGGAGGCAGAAGGAAAGTAACTTATAGTGTGTGATAAGTTTCTTGATAAACTTGTTCCTGGTTGGTTTTGATTTGCATTTTATTGTCCTTCCTTTAGGCGAGACTCTTGCCTCACGAGTTGCTGCCTCACAGCTCACCTGCCTCGGTTGTCTTGAGCTCATTGCAAAAAGCAGGCAGGAGTATGAGGATATCGCTGTGAAACTGGGAACTGACCTGGAATAGTAAGCCAACTTGGACTGTGTAATGTGGGAACAAAAAGAATATAGAGTACTGTATTTGGGCACAGTGCTGAGAACATGTAGTTTTACTCCTGCAGATACTTTATATTTAAAAWAGCAGGGCAGTTCTCTTCTAGAGCTGTTTTGTGTTGCAGTTAGTTCAGCCTCTGCTTTTATGGTAGCTTAACAGCACTCCCAGCTCAGTAACTGAAGAAATTACTTAGATGCAAAACAGAAAAAAATGCAATATATTTTACATTTTGTTTCTTTTTAAATAGAATATTTTAGTGAAAATAGTAAAAAAATAGCAGTTTGTTACTTACTGCAAGTTAAAATCATGGTGTAAAATGTCATTTTGCTACAGATAATGCAACAAGTTAATGTTGCAGCTCTTCGAGTTAAGTGGTTGTGCTGGTCTGCATCAGATAGGAAGAGGGGATAAAACAGGAAGTTGGTAAAGGTGGTGGAGCAGGTTTTTGGTTTTTTTTTTTTGAACAGTTGTACAGACAGTTCTGGGTTAGCTGAAAATAGTAGATTTTAAAGGTAAACAGTATTATCTAGTGTTTGGGACATCTCGTGACTGCTCTAACTCTTTTGCAGCCTGAAAAAAATCCGTGGCAAAGTCTGGAAACAGAGAATATCCAGCCCTTTGTTCAACACAAAGCAGTACACGATGGACCTGGAGCGGCTGTACCTCCAGATGTGGGATCACTACGCTGCAGGCAACAAACCGGACCACATGATCAAACCAGTGGAGGCCAGTGAGTCTGCATGAAGAGAGACTGGGTGTGCCTACCAGGAACTCTCCAGGAACTGAGCCTCTCCAACACGTGTGCAGAGATGATGAGCTAAAAACTGTGCATTTCTACTTAATCTGCCTGGTACTCTGTGGCTGAAGTAATACATGATGGTGATTAAAGCACAGCCAGACTTATTTCTTGCATGATAGGGAAAGACTCAATAGAGCCTGGGATCCTTTTATTCCATGAGGAATTTGAATGGGATTGAGCCGTGTACATGTGAGCCTGTGTGTATGAGTGACAAAGTGGTTGCTGGGGGAAGTTTGAACTGCCCAACCAATTTAGGATATCATGGATTGATTTAATCTTCCTACGAACCTCTCTCCTTTTATGTGGATTTTGGATTGGAGCATTTTAACATTTGATTTTGGGTACTCCTGTTGGTATATATGTGGTTCTCCCATGACAAGATTTCCAGCTAGCGAGTTGCTCCCTGTGTTAATTTCTAAACTGTGTGGACTGAAAGGGCATATGTGCTGGTGTAGTCTTTTTTTATAGGTTTTATAAACCACTTGAGCCTATATCAGCCTTTTAATGTTTGACCTCTGTTTTGGAGCTCTCTGTAATGTGTTGGTTAAGATAAGGACTTTGGGTTTTTTTTTTTTTTTGTTCTGTTTTGTTTTTTAAGCTTCTCCAATAACTCAGCTAATTGGCTTCATGATGGCAGCTCCTATTCTGTTGAGAAACCAAATTTGATTTGAAATTAATCCTCCCCACAAGTGTTTGAGGTAAACACAAACTGGTGCCAAATACAGATCTTTCAGGAATGATTGTTAATTATGTATAGGGATACAGTCCTAGGTACTGTAGCAAAGACTTTAAAAAAAAAAAATAAAGCTTTGGTTTGCCAGTTTGATTTGACCGGTGTTTCACGTTTTGTGCTGCTGCCTTTTTGTGTAATTTTGTTTTGAGTAGCTCTCAAAACGCGGCAGWAATGGGTATTTTGGGTTGGAATAAGCCAAGGCGGAATTTCCGTGCCGGGGGGCGGAGCGGCCGCGCTGCCAGCGCCTCCCATGTGCGCATGCGCCGTGCCCCGGAAGCGCGCGGCCCTTTCGAGCGCCATGGCGGGAGCGGCGGAGCGGGCGGGCCCCGCTCTCGGACCCGGCCCGAGCCCGATCCAGGGACCCCGCCACCGGGAATGGCGGGGCCAGACGGGCAGCGGGGCCGGGGCGAGCTCCGCAGCGAGCGGGGCAGCGGCTTCGGGCGGAACGAGCCCTGGGAGAGGCACCGCCGGCAGCCGGGACTGCCGGGACGSCAGGTGAGGGGGCGCCGGGCGGTAAAGCGCCCTAGCCCGTGTGTTCTGGTGTGTTCTGATTAATGTATCTCTAAAATGTGTGCGTGCATATATAAATACTTCATGTATTATACAGTAATACGTGTTACATCTATTGATTTTTAATTTTAGATTCGCCCTCAATTTGGTTTATGGTAATTCGTAGGTATTAGCATGTTTCAGGATTGCRGTCTTTAAGGTTTAAATAATTTCCTTTTAAAGAAGCTGTCTTCCTGGTTTTTAAGTAGCTGCATAACGTATTTTTTAAATTGTTAATGTTTGTTGAATCTCATAAAATGAAATAAATTAGTAAGGGTTTTGTGGCCTGCCTCTACATTTGTGTAGGCATAGCGGTCCAGGTGGTAATGTCTCCATCCTGCCTCTTGAAATAGTTTTATGAAAACTGCTGCATTTTGCTAAATATTCATGACAGTTATATTAAAGTGCACTTTATGCAAAAGCAGCTTCTTACTCATCGGGGCATGGTTTGATGTTTCAGACTTATTATAATGCACTTCTCTACCATATCACAGACTATGTGGAACATAAGAAATGAGTTTTCTATAAAGAGTTAAAATAGTTCAGCCTGTTTGGGACATTCGGTGTTTTTCCCAGTGCATATTTGGTTCTCATTGTTCATGGGTGTTTCAGATCAGTGGAAATGCAAATCTCGTTCCTGCTATGACCTAAAGTTCTGCATTTCATTTTTGCAGCAATGCCCTGTATTTCTCTTCCAGCAGTGATGATGAATTTGAAATGTGTAAGTAATGACATGTTAGTTTGTTTTCTGAAGGAATATGAAAAGGACACATTTCTAATTACAGTGAAGTGTATTTGCACATTGTTTTCTTTCATTGTTTCATGCTGCAAAGTAGTTCTCTCCTTGTAGTGGAGTTTTGGTGTTCTATATGTGATAGGGAGTATTCTTGAATTGTCTCCNTTTTTTTTTTTTTTTTTTTTTTTTTTTTTTTTTTTTTTTGCCTTGCATTATATTTTTCTTTTTGCCTTCATTTTGTCACTCACAATTCCTTGTTGCTCACTTGCTTTCTTCTTGGTCTCCAAAGACTAGAAAACTGCTGCCAGCTTTGAGGAATTGAGAGTTGGAATTATATGTAAAGGTTCCTTATATTTGTTTTTTGAAAATACATTAGACCAATTTTTTACTAGTTGCAAACTTTAAAAAATGTGTAACTAGAGAAACATAGCCTTGTTCTTAATTGATCTTCTTTTGTTTCAGTTTTAGCTAGAATGAAAACTCCCAAATCTGTTCCTAAAAAGGCAGATACAAGGTGGGTGGTGTCATTAATGAATTTTCTGTGTTCATATATTAGTCTTCTGTATCATATTTACTAATCAGAATGCAGAAAAACAATCTAAAGTCATATTGATGGACGTGTATAGGAGAGAGTGCAGACAGAACTGTTACATCTTCAGTCTCATTCAGGGCAAATGTAAAATGGGATATTTGGAGGTGCACATGCTCTTACCATTCCTATTCATGGATGCAGTTGGTGACATTTGCCGTGAGCAGCTGATAATGTTATATTGGGTGGATTTTTTTTTGATTACTGTTTTAGAAAGGCAAACTTACTGCTCTATTTTCTGCTTACTCCTACCTTTATTCCACGCAATTTGCCTTTTTTTATATATAGTTTGAAAGGCTTCATTGATGACTCAGATGATTTCTTCTCGGACTTGAAAATGAAAAAGAGCACAACAAAGCGTGGTAAGCAATAGAGCAAATATGAAGCAGACATTTTACTGAGTGGGAAGGTAGCATTCATTGCTGAGCTCATAAAGTTCTGGGAGAACTGAACCCTTCTCAGGGAGGGTAGGATCTCTGTCAACGCTGAAATGTGTGTGCCAGCTGCAGACTGTGAAAAGCTGATGGGRTGGTGTCTGGAGGGGAAATGAGTGAAGCAAAGTGGACCAGAAGCATCATAAAGTCACTTATAGATCTGACATGATCCCTTGATCTTCACAGGACAGATCTGAGGTGTGACATGYATTGTTTGTTGGAAAGTTACTTTCAGTGATTTTTCATGTGATAAGATGRTAAATGAGTAGGGCATAATAAAGAAAATGTAAAGATGCCTTAATGTTGTTTGTGTTTTCCTATTTTTTTCAAGGGATTTCTATTGTGTTAAGACAAAGGCCAGTCTCCAAAAAGCAACTCCCAAAACTTTAAGCTCTTTCTTTTGAATTGCAGTACAAAAGGATCTTCAGACCCCGAAGAAGCTGATGACTCCTGGAAAGACTCCTGGAAAGAGAAACACTTGCTGCCAAGAATTGCAGTATCCAGACACTTCAAGTGACACTGAAGATTCTGTCTTTGAAGAAAGTCCATGGCATGACCATCAAAAAGAGGGAGTGAAAGACTTGAAAGAGAGTCAGAAGTGCATAAATCTTTCACCTCCACAAACTTGGAAAGASTCAGATTTCAAAGGCAGTCCAGATTTGCCCATTAGAAGGAAAGAAASAAACTGGGAAAATCGAGAAAATAARTTGCCAACTGTGGCRCTAGGACACAGTACAGGGGYRGAATCAGACAGCTCAGATGACAGTTTTGGATCTTTAATGGAACGGATAAAGAAGCGAAGTCTCCCCCGAAAACCAGTCTTAAGCACAAGTAAAACTGTCTATCAGCCAAGCRTAGAAGGTAAGCAGTCCTTAGTGATTTGCAGTGGTAGTGGCCTGGTTCTTTCCATTTGTGTGGAATCCACGTCTCAGATGCAGCTCAGAGCCTTGCAAAGGATTTTGGTTCAACTGGAAGTTACTCCTGTGAGCATTCAGAAAAGTCATCTTGTGGTATCAAGATGCAAGTTTTTCACTATTGCTTGTTTTTTATCATTGTATGCACTTTTAGTTTTTAAAATTATTCTGAAAGCAAATCTTAACTTGTGGTTTCTAATGATTTTGTAATTTTTTTAATGTATGTTGTGTAATCCTGTGACTCTTCCTGTTGAACTAGAAAACATCAAGCCACCCTGCAAAGATGCACAGCCCGTGAAAGAGGAGGGAATCAAGACACCAAAGCCAAAATCTATTTCACTTCAAGAAACACCTTCCATGATAACAACTCCTGCAAGGAGTGAAGCAGTCAGTTGTTCACAGTCAGCAAAGACAGAGAAAAGGTGAATGTTCCTCCACTGTTCTTATGTTGTAGGAGAATTATAGATGGACAAAGAGATGCTAAACATTTTGCCTAGGATAATGTGATTCCTCTGCTACCTAGAAACTTCTACTAATGCACCATTTGTTAATAGCTGAGTAGCTGGAAACCATAGTTTTCAGTCTCCCGTACGACAGGGAGAATATAAACTGATCTCTGCCTAGGGCAATCGATGACAAAGAAATCTGACAAATGTCAAATCTTCTTTGTAAATGTTATCTCACTTGCTATTCCTTATTTTGTACAGCATGCTTCTAACACATGCTGACTCTTCACATGCTGACTGCTTGTCTCTGAAAATACATAAAACTGATTCTATTCATAATTAATACCTTTTAACAAGACCATATTTTTTTACCTGTATCTTTATAACTTGCATAATTCATGTTTCTTTTTCTCTATGTGGATGCAACTTAAACATTTCAAAGAATGCATTTTTCATTTCTAATAGTTGCCCTTTATTCTGCCTTCTGAATATGCTTTTTCCTTCAGTCATTTTATAATTGTGTGTACCATACCGAACCTTTAAATGATATCTTCAAAGGTGAGACTTTGTCAGAATGCTGTAGTATTTGAGTTACTAGTCCTGATGGAGTATCTACTTCCCTTGAAAGAATTTCTGAGTATTCCTGGACCATCTTTGGCTGTTTCTGAAAATACACCTTTATCATGAGTAGCATGGTAGGGCTGTTTGTATTTTGGTTTAGTTGTGGCTCACTGTATCACTAAGGTCTGAGCCACCCTCTTTTCCTACTTAGGAGTCCTCGTAATCTAATTCTGTGAATTTAATGAAGTAACTGCAGGACTGTTGCAACAGCTCTGCCCCTTCATGCCCTTAGAGGGGTAAGAGGACAGTCATAGRTCTTGTGAGGGCAAGCTGATGGAAAGAGTCAGGAGAGCATCCCTGAGATCTTTATTGGCTCACAAGGGGCCATTATTTTTCCATGTATTTTTCCCTGTCATTATTTGTACTTCAGTAGAGTCCTTAATGACTTTTCTTGCAGGCTCAGGGTGTGCTCAGTGCCTGGTTGTTTCTTGCAAGAGCTTTCAAATCCRACTTCCCAGTATGTGAAGTATTTCAAGAAAAATAAAGAGGAGTTGGCCCAGAAGCTCTACAGGTTGTTTAATARTACCATCTTTGAGCAAAAGGTTGGTTTCAAAGCAGGAACTACSATTCTAAAATGCTGGTTAATATGTTGCTCCTCACTTTTTGATGTTATTGCTCTCCATCCTCTTCAGTTTGTAGAAGTTAAGCTTTCTAGCAAAGGTTTATGTTTTTTAAAGGGGTGTGTCACCACTGTGACACAGCAGTTTTCAGCTTGGCTTTGCTTTCCCAGCTGTAATGGAAATRCTGCACCTCTTCTCTGTTCCTTCCTATTGCATGTTCAGTCTGCCTTTCTGGAACAGATAAAAAGATGCTTATCCTTTGACTAACAGTTTAAGGTGAACATGAAGCTACAAGTTGTGTTTCAAATTTTAAGGTTTAATTTCAGAGAACTGCTGTTTTGACCTGGGATTATCATCTGGGATGTTGGGGACCCTCCTCTGATGAGAAATATCCTTGAAAGGAAGGGTGCTGCCCTCAGTAATTCCAATACTATTTCCCCGACGAAGGAAAGTGTTTTCATGCAGATGAGAAAATACTTTTGAGCTGACTAAGGACAGGTTGAGTTCACAATTTTGCATAAAACTGAGCTGAACAGACTCACTATGGCTGAAGCAGAATTATATCCTGCTGCCCAGTGCTTTAGCCCTGTACCTGRAGGTATGTCGAGGTAGAATAGAGGAACTAAGGCACTTTCTGTCTCATCCTGCATTCTGAAGCTCCTGTTGTTCGTTGCAGGAAAACTGATGTAGGGAATAAAAAGCCATAGAAGGGGGAGTTGGCGTCAGTGAGTGAAAACAGTATTGAGAGCACTAACAGGCATTCTGGGCTGGCTTTGGAGTAAATGCAAGGGGGAGCCAGAGGGCCAGAAGATAAGAGAGGTAGGAGAGGCCAGATTACATGTACTGTTTTGTTTTTCAGTTACCAGAGGACATGGTAATAATCTGGAATAAGAAAATGAGGAAAACAGCAGGATATTGTGTAACGGGGCAGAGGGCAGGCCCTGCAGGGGAGCGTTATGCTCGCATTGAACTCTCTGAGAAAGTCTGTGACTCTGCAGGTACGTCAAAGGGTGTGTTGCTTTTTCTTTGAGAAAGCAAGTTTTAGAGATAAAAACATAAATCTGATGCACAAGAGATCTGGAACTGGAGCCTGCTTTGAAATTTTATATTATCTTGTATAAATAAATAAATAAATGTATGGATTTATCCACATTCCACAGCCCAAGAGGCTGAGCAAATGTACAAAATGTGAGAACAGAGACATAGTCACAGTAGCTGCAGTATTTTGTTTATATTTCTTAYGGTTTGGAGACCTACAGGCATCGTGTTACTCTAATTCTGTGTGCTGTAATGGCAGTCTTAAAATCCGACTTCTTMCATCAGAGCTAGCCACCTTGTTGGTGATATTTAAAGCTGGAATAAAGAYAGCTCAGTGCCAAATTAAGTTTTATTACATGGTACTGTAACTGTTGTTTTTCCCTCATCCCCTCCCAGTATGGGGAAATKAATCATAAARTGGTTTGGATTGAAAGAGATCTTAAAAACCCATCTTGTACCAACTCCCTGCCATGGACAGGGGTGCCTCCCACTAGACCAGGTTTCTCCAAGCCCTGTCCAGCTGGGACTTGAACACTTCCAGGGATGTGGCAGCTTTACCAACAGAACAAAAAAAAAAAACTGAAACAGACTAGGTGTGCTGGGAAGTGACTAGGATGCAGAATTGAGCTAATCACAAAACGGGAAGTGCACTAAGTAAAAGCTTGTCTTGGAGCATTTTCTCTTATTAAGATGTTAGTAGTGTTAACCTCCAAAATAACTCTTGCATCTTAATAAAGAATGAGAGTCAGAGACCTGAGGCAGTGACCAAAGGTGAGAGTCTGTACTTCCCMACACCTGACTGATGTCAATGTCTTTGTTTCACCTCAAGATCGCCTTMGGGACACGCTGATCCATGAGATTTGCCATGCAGCCACCTGGCTCATCAATGGTATTCGGGATGGACACGGGCGATTCTGGAGATTCTATGCCAATAAATCAGCTGTAATTCATCCAGAACTGCCAGTGGTCACACGATGCCACAGCTATGAGATCAAGTACAAATACACCTACGAGTGTGTTCGGTGCAAAGCTACGTGAGTAATGTTTTCATCTTGCATGTGACAGTGTATTCACTTTCTAACTTGGCAGTCTCTTGTGTAGAAATCAGGGGTCTCTGAAACTGTAAAGCCATTTGGATATGCTGATGTTTTCCAGAGCTCACAGAACTTCACTRTGTGATTCCATATGTTTGTTTCCAGGTAGTTTCAGTTATACTTCAGAGGTCAGGACAGGCAGAAATGTCATCTGAGGACCATTTGSTAATGAGAAAGATTCTTTGGGAAGTAGTCAGACATATGTACCTCAGCTTTGAAGAACAAAGCCCTGTGAAAACTGGTCACAGAATGTTTGACATGGATTAGATAGTATAAAACTATCAGAAGCAGCTTCCTGAGGTTTGTGTCTTGATGACTTTAAATTATGACTGCAGCTACACAGAGCAGTACTGTGATAGGAAGGATTTACACTAGGACACAAACTRTAATGACACTATTTATAGCATTTTTTTTACCTCAGGATCAWATGTGATTCCCAGAAGTACTGGAARGGAACACCTCACATATCCTGAAGTGTTTATTAGGACAATGCAATATAGTAGTTGCTTAGATGCAAAGTGCATTGASATTTTTTTAGTGATGTCTTTAAGGAGAAGCTCCAAGAGGCAATTGAGGGGTTGTGGAGGTGTTTGTAAAAGCTGTAGCACATCATGCTCTTCTATTCTCAATGTAGAGACAAGAAGGAACCAAACTAAAAAAGGAGTGGACAAAGTTCTAGGGTAGAGAAGTGTAATACAGATTTAATTGTACCACTGTGTGATGTACTGTTCTCTCTTCTGAAAAAACTGGCTTTAAAAATTGATCTCAGCAGAAGAGAAAGGAGTTTTGTGGAATCCAAATCCTTGTTTTTGCCTTTCAGGATCGGGCGGCACTCGCGGTCCCTGGACACGGCACGGTTCGTGTGCGCCTTCTGYGGGGGGCAGCTGGCCCTCAAACAGCCCCAGGGCAAGGGGGGCACCCCTGCCAGGACACAGCTCACACCTTTTGCCAAGTATGTGAAGGAAAACTATGGACTTGCTAAGAGAGAGCAGCACGGGCTGAGTCATGCAGAGGTAATGAGGAAACTCAGTGCTGATTTTGCTTTGAAAACCAGGTTGGAAGATTCCTTTTAATATCTCAGTACACCTCCTTTCTTGGTGCCACTTGAACTTTGTATAGAGAGAAATAAAAGGCCTGAGGAGCACTTACAACATGGCTTCAGTGATTCCAGTAAGGGATTTACTGTTTCATCTGAGCAGCTGATATGCTCTGTGTGTGTGCTGAAGACCTGCTGGGTGTGCAGGTCTGAAATTGCCAGAGGCAACAYAGTCCAGGCCCACCACCCCAAGTCCTCTGACTCTGAATGACTCCCAGGATGGAAAGGGTGCAGACCTGAGCTGGGCTTCAGTATGGATTTAGATATTCTCCCAAGTAGAGTTTCCTGAGAGATCCTTGGCTGCTTTTGTTAAAATTWAGTGCTAGGTAGATGGTGTCTTAGCCCAAATCCCTTAAGAAAAAATGTGTGAGTTTCTCCAAAGTCCTTTAAGCCCTCAGTAAGACTGAAGCTCTTTGATTGAATTTGAATGTAGTGTACCTCTTATCACTGACATTTCTTAGAAACTGAAATAGATGCAGAAAGTCAGGTTGGGGAAAGCAGATTCAAACACTTCCCCCATAGAATGAGGAGGTCTTGTCAAATGGCTCAAGTCTTTCATGTAAAATGCAGCTGAATGTGTGTTATAATATGTGTGTCTTCTGTAAGTAAATTGCTCAGGGGATTAATAATTTTGATAATCAATAAATGCCAGTTTGATTACTAACTGTTGCAATGAACCAGGCTGCTTYGTTTTAGTTTAATCATGGCTGTGTAGGAATACAAAATACTGGTACCAGCCCAGCTCTACTGGCTGGAGAACCAGGCTGTGGATCAGCAGAATCAGTAACATCCTTTTGTCACAGGGATTACAGTCCAAGCATCACATTCCAGGAGACCCAGGGCTTCTCCCAGGAGCCCTCATCATGCCTGGGGGCACTGAGGCACCACTCTCCCTTCCCCAGTAACAAAGAGCAGCTGAACTAGAAACTAATACCAAAAACAACAGCACAACACCACTGACTGTTCAAAAACTGATTAATTACTGTTCACAGCACTTCTATGGAAAAAGAAAACAGTAGTGAGCAATATACTTGAAGGAAGTTCTCCTTGTAGGGGATTTGCCAGTAGAAATGCAGGCATATTGAAAAGTCAAGTCTGACAGAGCAGTGAGGTTATGGGGCTTCCACATCTTGACAGCACTTTTCAGCTGCTCACCAAATTGGCTGTCCCTGATAGAGCTGAGGAAGAGGCATTCCCTGTTACTTTCATTGTCCCATCCTTTGCTCACAAGACACATTCACAAGACAGAACACAGATGAGGATGTACATGATGAGGGATACTGTAAAATGCACAGCAAGAACATTTAAAGGAGTTAATTCGACAGCTACTTTGTTCCAGTCTTAAGAAATTTCTACAGTTAAGATCAGCATGTAAGAATGTCAGGCTTATTCATCTCCCACTTCTTTTCCCAGCACCTTAACCTTCTTCCCTCTGGAAAGAAACCACAATCCTCTCACTGAGCCAGCAGAAACAGTTCATTTTGTAGAGAACCTCAGTGCTGGGCACACAACAGAATTATATGGAGTAAGAGAATACAGACTGACTGAAAAATGCAGTCACTGGCATTTTGTAGCATTCATTTCATTTCTACTCCCAACAGCTCTAGCTTTGGAATTCTTTATTTGGTTTGATATATGCTGAACACAGAACCTATGTCAAAGATCTTCCAGGTCTGTTCCCAGGCTTTCCTCCCACCTCTTACCTGCCTGGGTGAATGACCAGTGATCCAGAACATTACTAGATATAAGATCATGGTCAACTGAAGCTACTAAAAGAAGGCAGAAGTTGGCAGCATCAGATATGACAGCAGGGACACACTTTTCCCCTCTAACCCCTCCTATTCCAGGCTTCTGGAATACATGTAAAGCAGTAGATTTCTGTCAAAATATAGAGGGAGAAACAATATCTTCCCTATGTATGTGACCCCTCCAGAACAGGAGTCTTCAGGTGCTGCCCAGCCCCACCACTGAGCCASAGGTGCCGCACCTGCAGATACAGCCCTGCTTTGCACCAAGCTGGGGCAGGTAAAGTCCTGATCCTGGAAATGCGCTCTGCTGCAAGAGAAGAGGCACAGCCAGTACCTTCACTGAGAGGCAATGTATGGCCACCCTTCAGCCTGGAGTAATTTTTGTAGTTCTTTTTGTTGTCTCTTTCCTGAAGGGTCTGCATTTCCTCCTCACTCCAAAGCAGCGAGTTCCTCCAGCAGCTGCTCCTTCTCCTGCTGCAGCTCCTGCACGCGCTGTTTGTTCTGCTCCAGTCTGTCCTCCAGCCACTGCAGCAGGGGCCCACTGATGGCAGACATTTGGCTGCAGAGGTTCTTTGTGAACACTGCRAAGAGCAACAACAGATCATGCCAGGGCAACACATAAAAGACTCAGTGTGCCACATCCCCAAACACAACAGGCAGCCAAGGAAACCTTTCACCATCCAGGCCATGGCAAACACACATCTCCACAGAAAGGTCAGAACCAGCATCTTACAACRGGGAAACATCATTTCAGTCTGACCCTGGCAGGGGTGAAAGACCTACAATGAAAATCTGCACACAGCTCATCCCTGCTGCTAATTAATTTCTAAATTTAGARGCATCATCAAATGCCTCATTTCCTAAATGTGTCAGAATGGACACTGGGGTAATGAACTTGGAACAGAAGTGGGATTAGGATTCATCCCATCACACTGGCAAAAGCAAAGATGTCACACCTGTGTAACACATACCAAGTGCCAGGAGGTGGAAGGGTGCATTCAGGTCAGGCAGACACTACTGTAACACTGAACAAATCCCAAAMCCCTTTTGCTGTTCAAACAGAAAAAAATAACATAAACAAACCCCAAAAGCCCAAACAATCCCAAAGTCTTCTGTAATTTTAACCAATTCTACAAGGCCTGAAGGATACAACAGTCATGAACCCCAGGATTAGGGTATTTTACAGCCTTYGAAGTTTTCATTTTAAGTGTCTAGCTACAATTCTGTTCCTATGTAACCAGAGTCCACCGTTTTGATTCTGGGAGCAGCACCCTGGAATATCACTTGCAAGAAAAGAATCCTTACCTGAACCGTTATGGATTTTGGTTACAGAGTCAAGATGGGTGAGGCTAAAGGGAAAAAAAGAAAGCAGGTTTGAGGCAAGACAGCAGGGAATTGCATAGTAAACCCAGGCTGCAGAACCAGCTGCCCACAAATCACTGACCTGACCACAGGTACCCCTACACCTCCTCACTTGCTGAAGCCCTGCACATTTGCAAGGATAACAACCCAGGATCACAAACCCCCAAAATACTGCTGGTTATCCCATGCTCAGTTCTGCAGAGGCACATGAGCTGCTAATCCTTAATTTCTACACCTTTGCCAAGGCTTTGGTACTTCAAGCACAGTAACAGTAGAACATGTCAGCAAAGAGAGTCTTAGAGAGGGGCAGAGCCCCAGGGCTGTTACCTGTGAATTCTCCTGTAGGCATCTTGCTCTTCTTGGCAAAGGATCTTTGGCAGCTCCACAGCTGATTCCAGACACACTTTCCCAATGGTTTCATGKGGGACAACATGAATGGGAATTTCAATCCTTTCATATCTAGAAGGGTATCAGACACAATTAACTTCAAAGCAGCAAAGAAAAAGATTACAAGCTAACAACAATCTGCCCAAGGCATGGCAGTGCTGAACATCCACTTTTGGGAACGCATGCCTGAGCTGACAGGCAAAGGGAAGCATTTTAAAGCCATACATTTGTCTTGAATTTCAAATGTAAAATGCTAGAGCATTTTATAATTAAGTATAATTGGCTGGCCACTTCTGGCAACACAATCCYGTGTGTGGTCAGTGAGGAGTCTGCACCATGCAAACCTGTGTGCCCCACCTCTAGAGCTGGAAGCAAAAAGGTGGGGCTGCTACACAACCAATTGCAGCACAAATCCCSACCCTGACAACAGCAAATCTTAAGACAATAAATTATCTAGGCTGAATAAATCACTCCTAAAATTTCGATTCTCTTCAAGCAGCCTCCATGAGCAGATGTCAGGAGACCCTGTGCAGGCATCTCTGTACATTTGCTCCTCATAACAGGCTGAGAAAGCAAYCCAGAGAGAGACAAGACAAAATACAATAGGACATAATATTCTGATGTACTCACTCTGAGCTCTTCTGGGCCTGAATAGACTGGAAACATGTATAGAGAATTCTGCCTGTCTAAGAGAGACAGCAGAAAGTCAGATTCCAAGGGCAAAAAACATCTAAACCCACACATTACTTTAGGAAGTACAATATGCTTTCAAMGAGAATTCCAGATGTTTTGTTGTGATTGGCTTGCTGGAGCTGCTTAAAGCATATACTGATGAACTCTTTAATGATGAAAAAACACTCCAGCAGCAGCTGCCTGGACAGCCTGGACCTGACTGTCAGCTCACCTCACACAGCAGCCACACTCCTGGAGAGCTGGAGCACAGAGGGGCAGAGCTGTGTCCTGAGCTGGACACCTGAGGGAAGAGYCCTGGCCCATCTCAGTGCACACACTGTGCAGCTGCTGCTGCAGCCCCCTGCACAGCCAGGCTGAGGGGCAGCACAGAGGAATCATCACTTGTTCCCCTGTCCTTGGGATCACAATCCAAACACCACCATTCCCGCTGTGCTTTCCATGTGCTCCCAGCAGAGCTCTGCCCTTCCTGCAGCTGCAAAGACTTCAGCTCTGCCCTGATGTTTCTCAGGAGCACCTGGAGGGTTTGTTGCCATTTTTAAGTTGCCTACCTTGGTGTTCTTGTCCTCAATGAAGCAGGAAAAGATCAGCCCTACAAACCCTTGGTCCATCATCTGATACATGGCCTGTGTGCGGACATCTGCAGGCACAGAAATGAGAGAGTGAGACCTGCACTGCTCACCCGCACSAGTGGGAAAGGATTGGCCACTTTTTGAAGGGTGACTTGAAATTTGGTCACAAATGTCACGAGCTTTATTCTTATATCCTTACTCTGGGTGACTTAGGTTTAAATTTAAAAAAATTTATCAAATTTAAAATGTGATTAAATAGAGAATCTTACAAAAAGAAGAGCTCACAAAACCAGAGATTATCTCACAGCCAGCATGGTGCCACAGGTCACCATGAAAGTCCAACACATATAAGGCACTTATGTCCTTTGCTTATGGAAGTTTTCAGTTTGGCATTAACACTCACAGACTCAGAAATCATCACAGCATGCCTGGTATTCCCACAGCCTTTTCTGCTATTCCCCACACCCCACGTCTGGTTTCTCTGTCTGGAAGAACAGTGGTACCAGCAGTAGCTGATCTGCGACTCCTGGGTCATGTCTGAGTCCTTGGAGAGCACACACAGGAATGGGGCTACACTGGCAGAGGCCCCTGAAGCCCACCCAGACAAGCTGGTCCTACCAGGGCATGTCTGAGACACAGAACTGGGGGAATGTGCAGCTCTGGAGCTCCAGTGACTGAGCACCAGGATCAGCAGCTGGGAGTTTCACTCAGATCCCAGCTCTTACCGACGTGTGATGGCCAGACAGTGATGTGGGGGT